CCATGTTCCTCAGCTCCTTACGGCCATTGTCACAAATTGCAGTAGCCCACAGTCTGCTCCAGTACATCAGGAACTCCAACCCAATCTACAGTCACCTCAGGACTGAGGAAACCGATAGGCATGAGTTGCACAAGCTCTAAGACACAGCCAACAAAGATCTGGGCTTTAGAGTCCAGAGAACAGTAGCATAGACTGTCACAAAAATGCCACTTTTTTCCCCCCACAAATGAACCATTTGTGGGAGTTCTGCAATTGTTAGCTAATTAAACACCATTCCCAGAATTGTATAGGTAGCATCAGTTAACCAATAAAGAACTATGCTAATTTCATATTCACTCGGAGGGGTGGGGGAAGAGGCCAAATGAAAAAGGACAAAAATCAGCAGGGAAAGAAAATTTATTTCCAAGCTTCTAAGAGAGAGCTACAAACAACAGAGACTAAAAACCAAACACTTAAAACTATTTTTTTAAAAATTAGTTGACAATGTCCTTTTAAAAAAAATTAAACATAAATGTAGAAAATGCAGTTATTAATTCTAAAACTTGCCCAATAGTGAAATAAAAACACCAATGATAAGGATGGAAACTTACCAATAGTTTTATTTTTTTCTATGTTAATTTGTAAATTGCTATTTATTATTAATTATTATTATTATTATTATTATTTAAATTTATGTTGGAGAAATGTGCAAATCTAGCAAAATATTCTTTGGATTATAAACATAGAAAAAATCAACAAAAAAGGAAATTTGAACCAAGTTAAGAAGTAATAAACTATGTAATTATATAGAATGCATATGCATATAATAAAGTGAAATATTACAATAAAACATTTTATAGTGAATTTGCTCCTTCAGCAAACTAAAATAGGGTTATAATGGGAAAAGTGAATATTTTATGAATATACGCCTGAAAATATATATATTTTTAATTTTTAATAGTTAGATTTAAATTTAACTACATATGGGGATTTCAGTTAAGGAGTACATCAAAAAAAAATAAGATTTCCTCTAAGGTTATGCAGTTTGGTACCTGACTGCAATTCAAGGATGGGATTTCTAAAATTAAAGATGGAAAAATTTATATCATTGCTATTTATTGCCTCTTCTCATATTGCAGTTGCTGATCGCTGACCCTTACCAGCAAACTATATTAAATTTAGCAGAATTACAGCTGCACACAGATGTTGAAAATGTTGATGCACACAACATATTTTTGTCCCTTGCCCATTCCAAACTAATATAAAAAAGGTTATAGATCAATTTTATTAGATTAAAAACATACATTACAAAGACCAACTCTGAAAATACTCAATATTTCGCTTATTAAAAATTAAAATATCTTGTTAGCTGTAGATGAGGCAATTCTACTGAAGTAAACTAAAAACATTTCTAAGTACCAGAACCATAATTAATGCTCAGGTAAGGTAATTGTCAGGTAGAACAGTCTTTAGGGAATTACTAACTAAAGTGGGTCAGATTTAAGTCTTTAGCAACTCGCAGAGCTTAGTAAGGATATTATAATTAACAAGTGTGGAGTATACTGTAAGTACAGTGCACTCCTGTTCATGTATGAAGTTGTTTCTGAGATCCATGGACTTTCTAGGCTATAAGATAAATGCATATTACATGGGAAATATTTAAAAGGATTAAATTTAATTTACTCCCAGAGTACAATAATTTTGTATGAAAGGTATTACTGTACTCTGGGAGCAGCCACAAGCTGTAGATAGAGAGGGTACAAAATGTTCACCAGACACTACAGATTCTTATCTAAAAACATTTGTAAAACATCTTTGATTTTAAATAATCACTTAACAAGGCAATAAACCAACTACAAACACATAATAAATAGGGCTATTAAAAGGTCACAATTGTAGTAAATTAGTTAGAACTATAAATGGAACATTAGAAACACTACATGTTTTCTTAAATGCTTAATAACCAAAACAAGAATTAAAAAAAGAATCATTTTATTTCGAAGTCTGCTTCTTATATTGAAGCACATATTAAAGCAACAGTACAATGTTCATAAAATATAAGTGTGATGTTGTAACATTTCTTACATGTCCGAATACTGATATTTGTATGTATACTAAAATAAGAACTTTAAAATTGTACAAATAGATACATTAAAAATGACATAGAAATAGGGCGCCTCCCACTGCAACAAGACAGAGTTTTATATCTGGCACGTATTAGTTCAAGATGAAAGTATAAGCAAAAAGATTTACAAGAATCAGCAGTAACAAGTTTGATGCTCAAGAGACATTATAATTGTACATTGTACTGTACATACATCATATGGGTTTAAGCTGGCTGAATATTATATATTTCAAGTTTAAAAATGCACTACATATACGAGTGTCCATAGTTTAAGGCGAAATTACAGCTCAGAACTGTTATCTTTTTCTAACGTGTGGAAGCTTCTTTGACATAAAAGATTTAGATGTTCATAATACATAAAAGATTTCCCTCATTTGTAGGTTCACTTTTAGAATTTTCCTTCCCTTAAATATTTTGTACTTCACAAGTGGGTTTTTCTCTAGTGAAGTTGATAACCAACTTCTATATTTGCCTTTTGTAAGAAAAGGTACTTCACAGTATTTACCACTTTTATGTCCTTTTCATTATTATTAAAGGAATCCTCTTTGTCAAACTTAAATGTTTTAATGAGCCTTTTCTTGATTTTTAAAAAAATACCTGCTTACATTTCTTCTGGATTCTTCAAAACATCAGACACAGTTCTTAAGGCCAAATTTGTAACTTTATTGTTAAGAATCATCATCAAAAGTGTCTTTGGAACCATACAAGTCTGCTAGTTTCTTAAAACGAGGTCCCCAGTTTTGTAGATAGTCATAGTCCAAATCAGAATCTGTTGTCGCCGACTCTAACGAGCTAAGTGAACCAGCCACTGAGCCTCTTCCTTCATAGCCATAGATCTGAATAGAGTCATAAGGAGGAGCAGTTGGATCATTATCAGCCTCTTGTATTCTTGTGTTGATGAAATCATCAACATCAACGCTGTTAGGAGCTGGCCGAAGCCCTGGTCTTGGCATATACTGATACTCGGGTTTTATGTCTTTACGAGGAATAAACCCATTGATGCCATCAGGGTTCTGCAAAGTAGCAATGTCAAAGGCTTCAGTGTCTTCCTCTCCACCACCTTCATCATCATAAGTTATAATGTTCTCTCTGACATCTTCTTCTTCAAAAACAATTAAAGGTTCTTTCTTCTGCCTTTTCAGTGTTACAAATAACACTACAATGACTACAGAAAAAATAAGAAAGAATGTAAGTTAGGTTAATTTCCCAACAAAGTCTATGTATATAAATGATTTTTCTCTAAAGAGAAAGATCATGCAGTGACTAAAGCATATCACATTCTTGTCATAATTATTGCATTTACTATTAGCTACTCTTGATGGCTGTGAGACACAAAGTTTGGATACAGGTGGGATATTTCCCTAGTTCTGAGGGGTTTCAGATCCAAGGTTTTGGACCGGGCCCATTTGTTGCTGGATACCAGTGCTTATTACGTGATTACTTTAAGGCTTTGATTTGGGTACTACACTGATGGACTCCTAGTCTGCACAGATCTCAGATCGCAGATCTGTGACTGTATGGGAGCCAACTATTCAGAAGAAAGGTGTACCTGCTTGAGATATAAAGCCCAATCAGCTGCATGACTGCAAGGTAGAAATGAACCTTTGCTGTCCTGCAACATCCAACACTGAATTCTAATTCCACACCCTGCTCCCACAATGAAATAGGAATTATTCTAGCTCCAGATTTCAATAACTTTTCTTTGATGACATGAATAGGTGAAGGGGCAAAGGCAAACGTGACCTGTTCTTTGTCACTCATTTTTTTTTTAAATAAATGTTGCCTTGTAGAGTCATCTAGTGATTTATATAGATACTTTTAAATACTCAGGACATTTATGATGCTTTACAGCTCTTCTCTCAATGGCAGGTCTTCTAAGTCATCAGTTTGTCTTTATTTCTCCTTCAACAGTAGGGAAGTTAAAGGCAAAGAGCTGGCATGAATTATTATTCCAGGCTGACCTCGATAAGCAATGTGTCATCCAGCGAAGGGCACAAAACCAAAAACTTTGTGTCATGGAGTTAGTATCACTCTCTCAAGCTGTTATATAGAGTACTTTACCTGGGCTTACTCAGGGTCTCAGCTCTAGTGAAAGGGAAGTGAAGAATACTAAATAAATTCATCTTTATGAGGGAACATATAGTATGTCAAATGTGGCCAAGTCAGGGTTAACATTGCAATATAATCAAAAGCAGATAAATAGGTAGGGAATTTCCTTACCTAACAAAATCACAATGCAAGCGAGAATGGCAATTAAAGCTCCAGTGCTAAGTCCAGCATTGAGGATGTAAGCTTCAGCATTACATGAGAGCATGGAACCATTGCTGTCACAGCCACAGACTCTAATAGTGAGGGTATTGGTGCTGCTCATTGGAGGGATTCCACCATCACTTATTACAATAGGAAGAAGGTATAAATCCTGCTTTTGTCGACTAAAGCCACCACGTCTAGCATAAATACCCGCTGTATTATCTGTTTAAACAAACAAGACAATCTTTAATCATCCAATTTCTTCTCAGACTCCTCTTCTTCATAAGTATTGAGAAAGTACATTTTGCTACAATTGCTTTCACTGTTTTAATGCTGTATTTATATACAGTAAATTGATTGTCCCATTTCTAATGACATGAGAAATTAAATATCATAGTTCCTATATACAGTAGTGCCCTATTTATTTAAATTATTCCAGGACGGGATATGGAATACAAGGAGTACAATACACCCCTGGCCTTTTTTGGTTGCATTTCACATTTCTTTTCCTGCATAAATTACTCTCATTTACAATTTCTGTATATTTCTGTTCACCTTTTAATTGTCTACCATAAGGGAATACAGCACCACAAGGAAAATCAAAGCATTTATTTATAAGGCAAGAGTATTTATGACAGTTTTAAAAGAGGTTGCAGATACTGCTGAATGCTTAGATTATTAGGAACATATAAACCAGCAATTCACGTTTTCTGCAACAGTGGGTACTTGCTAAAAACAGTGTTTGTGACAAAAAAAAAAAAAAAAAGAGGATCCGATCATGCAAACAATTACTGCTGGTTGTGGTGCTCAGTATAAAGAGAAACCATAATGGACCCCATTGGGCAATTCACAGTACTAAGCACTATGCCAAGTAGTAAACATCTGTAGAATTAGGCCTTGACAATGTACCTATGCTGATTCTGGGCCTGACCCAAAACCAATGGAGTCAGTGGAAAGCAAATTGACTTCCAGGACCTTAGGATCAGGTCCTTTGTACTCAGACTATCCCCTTAAAAAATGATAAGGATTAGATTTTATATAGATATTGCCCAAAGATATTCTTATAAGAGTGCAATTCCCACTGAAATCAAAGGAAAATGCACACAATATATCATGGCAGAATTTTTCCCTGATATTCCACATGGCCATTTCACTAGCACATATTTAAGTAAACAATAGTCTGACAATCAATATCTCCTCAGCACTCTTTGATCCCAGAAACCAGAAAGCTTGAAAGTGTATATTGATATAAGATGCTTCTTAGTGTATGTGCAATGTGCCTTGGGTGGCACATGATCAAGGTTCACCACTGAATTTGGTCTGCTGCTTGGATCATTAGTTTCCCCGCTTGGGTCGGGTACTGATGGGGAGTGCAACTTGACCACTGAGCCGTGCCCCCTTATAAGATGCCTGAACACACACAATGAACTGCACAATGATGCTCAAAAATTAACAATTTTAAGTGGGTTTGGAGCTATACTTTACACTGAAAACTTGCTCTTTATCCAAGTTTCAGTTTGAATAAGTACCCCAGCGTTTGGATGTTTATTCAAATTCCTGAGGACAAAAAAATTAGGAAGGAGAGTATGTAAAAGGAGACCTTCTGATGAGATTTCCAGTGTTTCCTGTTTCTGGTCAGACAGGAAATACTAAGAAAAACAAGAACAGTGCTTCTTTGTGGCATTTCTTGTGCTTCCAGACCCAGGACACTCAAAACTCAAAAACACTGCGGTGAGTGGAAGACGCAATTTTATCCAGCTTTTTCAGATCCTCAGAAAAGTTTAGTTTGGTTAATGTTCAGCTCAGATCTCACTTTACCCAAACCTCTTCGCTTTCTGTTTCTCACTTTTCCAAAAGGAAAGAAAAATGAAAATAGGATGATTCTTTTAGTCTTCTTTCTTAATCAGGACAGGTTAGTCACCTTCTGTGGCATCCATTTTGCTGCTGCTTTGGGATACAGCAGAACGGAACAAAGACTAATCCTTTTCCTATTGAAAACTCAGCATAAATTCCAGAATAATGCCATTCATAAAACTTCTTTTAATGATCTGACCAATGTTATTTCCAGAGAAACCTGTGAATAAATTAGACCTAATGGGGCAGAATCTTGCTTCCTACATTCAAAGCCCATGCAGAGGGAATTTTTGGAAGAAAATCTTCATGAGGACTTCCTTGTGGAAATCACCCCACATTGTCCCATGTGTTGGACAACGTTTGCTGCAACCCCAAACCTGGTAGATATGTAGGGATCTGTGGGAGATTAGGAACATATCTGGACCTGATATGGACCTCACCCCAGCTCTCTGGAAGTCTGACTGTTACAAAACAGCATGATACGTTTGAATTTTGACAGTAACTGGGTGGTAATGTTTTGCTTGAGATGGAGAATATCATAGAATCATAGTCACATAGGGATAGAAGGGACCACAAGGGTCATATAGTTTAACCTCCTGCCAAGATGCAGGATTTGTTGTGTCAAAACCCTCCAAGAAAATGGCTATCCAGCCTCCTTTTGAAAACCATGAGTGAAGGAGATTCCATAACTTCCCTAGGCAGTCTGTTCCACTGTCCTACTGTTCTTACTTTTAGGAAGCTTTTCCTGAGATTTAATCTAAATCTCCTATGCTGTTTGAAACCATTGCCTCTTGTTCTGCCCTCTGTGGCAAGGGAAAACAATTTTCATCCATCTTTTTTATGGCAGCCTTTAAAGTATTTGAAGACCACTATCATGTCCCCCTTAATCTCCTCTTTTCCAAACTAAACATACAGAGCTCCTTCAGTCTGTGCTCATGCGGCTTGCATTCCATCCCTCTGATCACCTTTGTCACTCGCCCCTGGATCCTTTCCAGTTTCTCTACATCCTTTCTATACATTGGTGACCAAAATTGGACACAGTACTCCATCTGAGTCCTAACCAGCACTGAACAGAGTGGTATTACCACCTCCCATGACTTGCACACTATGCCTCTGTTAATGTAATTCAACATTGCATTTGCCCTTTTTGCAACAGCATCACACTGTTGACTCATGTTGAGGTTGTGATCCACCACAACTCCCAAAGCCTTCTCAGCTGTGCTGCTGCCAAGTCAGCTATCCCCATTCTGTATTTATGCATTTTTCTTCCCAACGTGTAGCACCTTACATTTGTCTGTAGCCCAGTTCTCCAATTTATCAAGATCCCTTTGAATTTTAGCTCTATCATCCAAAATGTTGGCAACCCCATCTAGCCTTGTGTCATCTGCAAATCTGATCAGTATGCTCTCTAGTCTTACATCCAGGACATTAACAAAGACACTAAACAATACCAGACCCAGAATAGATCCCTGTGGAACCCCACTCGAGACCGCCTTCCAATCTGCTATCATTCCATTAATAGTTACTCCTTGTTTATGGTTGTTTATCCAATTATGTATCCACTTAATGGTAGTTCCACCAAGCCCACATTTCTCCAGCTTTCTTATCAGACTGTCCTGTGGGACTGTGTCAAAAGCCTTACTAAAGTCCAGGTATATTATGTCCACCATATTCCCCCTATCCACGGTTACCCTGTCAAAGAAGAAAATCATGAACAAAAATGTACAAATACAAGGTCTGATTTTTTTAGTATTTGTAGCTTTGGCAGATACTGTTTAATCCATTTCAAAACCCATTTGTGCTGCTAAATATTTACACTTTTATCATTTTATAGGTGGCAGTGTCTGTGTAATAGTCTTCAAATTTCAGGGGGTTAGAATGTAGTCATAACAATTTGCTGTCAGTTGAAATGTGGCATCCAATGTGTATCAGCCTTGTTTAACTCCTTTTCACATTTTTTAGTCTAAAAAAGTATCCACTAATATTAGTCTAATGTACAGTATTTTCCACACTAGGAATAATAGTCCATTTCTTCTCAAACAACCAAATAAAAGCTCACAAGATGTCAGATCATCTTTATGGTGAAAGAGCTTGCAGACTGATGGACGCAGGGCTACCTCTCCTGCAGTGGACGCAGTTGCCCGGAGATTCCAGAAACAGGACAGAAGAGACTTTAAGAGCCCTGCTTCCAACCCCAGCAAATGCCAAAATGGTACTCTGTAGACAATCAAAACTCTGACAACTGATAACACCCGACTGTACCGTTACTTTTCTGATTTGATTATCTTATGCCAAGATCACAACAATTTAATTACCAAACAGATCTGCCTAACCCCAAGCAAGCCTAAATCTCCTTTCCCTAGTATGTCATAATGTGAACTGTTTAGACTTGTTTGCTTGTTTTCTGCTAAGTAAGAAGTAACTAAGTTTCAGACAATTTAGGCAATCTTGTATGTTTTTCCATATTTGACCAATGATCAAAGGCAAAGATTTGGAATTTGCAAGTTTCATAAAAGAATTGGGTGAATGTTTAAAATAACTCAAAGATACAGTAATGCCTTAGCAAAATAGTTTTCAAAACTATACTGGAAGCCACACAGTAGGGATTTAGGAAAACTCTGATGCTCATTTAAATGACAGATAAAAAGGGAAGCTACTCAAAAACACCATGTGAAATATTATTAAGTCCACTACCTGTCACTGCTTCCTCTGCTCTAGTTGTGACCAACTCTCATATCCAGTATATAATGTCTTGGAGACAACAAAACCTTAACCTCTCAGGATAAAGGTAACATGTAATCCAGGGTAATATTTTCATCCTTGCTTTTTCATCATTTTCATGCCCTTTGATTCCAAAACAGAGCCTAACTGTAATCCAGGTACATGGTATCAGGACGAGAAACAGACGTTAAATATCCATGCCAGGTTAAAGTTGGATTCTTTACTCATTCCGCAAGAACCATACTGCAGCTGCTTGGCTGGCAATTTCAAGGACTACAATGTGCCACAACACGTTACAGAAGGAGGAAAACATCCATCCCAAATACCTTTGCAGTCCGTTCTGGAATATACATGTTTTCATTTTCCCAGTTGCTATTCCTTGGAGAATCCCTCTAGCTAGATATTACTTCAGGTGACTAGATCACCAATGCTTTTTGTGAAATGGCTGTGATAAAATTGTATCATATCCACCAATATTTATTTTTCCATTTTTGATTTTCTTCTTTGCTTCTTGCAGTCTTACCAAAGCTTTCCAAATTTCTTTCTCCATGAAGGTAGCTGTTGATTATTTTCTATTATGTTGTTTATATGCACACGCAGAAAAGCAGATAGTTGTTTGACAACAGAAGCTTATTGCAGAGTGAGCATTACGAGCTGCTGCACCAGAGGTGAAAATGTTGACAGAGCAGGGAAGACCAAACAGACTTCTGGTTGTAATTGCCTTGAATCTGCATCAGGCAGTGATTATTACTGGGTAAAATTCCATGGTAAGAAAAAGGAGAATTGCACTGGAGCCCATGTCTTTTACTGAGGGCCTCAAAAATCATTGATCAGACATGTGGCACTGAAGATCAGAACATGTTGCCATTGAAATAAAAGCAGCAGAACTGGACCATGAGTCTTCCAAAAGTCATCTCTTATATTTGGGCATTCCAGAACATTATATTACATCAGTGACAAGCATTAAGAGGAAATTCCCCCACGTGTAAAGGGCCCAACATAAGGCCAATGCACGAGTTTCAGACCAACTGGCTTTGTGCTTGACTCTGCACAGGGTGAATCTCTGCCTAACAGTACCTCAGTGCAGGATGGAGCGGGGATGAAAATA